TTAAAATGAACAATACTCTTGGGAGACTTCTATATAGGGAAACATATACACCGTGGGTTCGTGAAATCGGCTTGAAACCGACCCTGATGTATTTCCGTAGTGTAGTGGTCATCGCGTTTGCAAACGGTCCCTTCCAAAGTGAGAAACATGTTTTCCTATTAACATTTCGCTCTAGCCTAAAATCTTTGACGGATCTCGTTCATCGCCGTAAGAAATGGTGCATATTATGAACTTAGGTATCCTTTTTAAAGTATAAATTAACCCTTCGTGGTAGATTTTTACTTCCTCCTAATATCTCAAAATACTTTTAAGATGAAATGAATATTTGCTCGAACAATCGATAATAACCAAATGTATTTTTATCATAATTATCACACATTTAAGAAAAATGGGTTGAAATGATGAAATTAATCAGTTGTTAAAAACATCTCAAATACAATAAGTAATTAAAGTTTAACTTCAGTGGGAAGTATTGCCTAATCCTAACCTGGTACACATACTACGTACCGGTGTCCGCCATCTTGGTTCACATATTTCTGGAGCGCCAAACATTCATACCGGTACATTATTATATTTTCCCAAACCAAATCAACAAAATCATTTTTTTGCTGAAGATGCATTTTAGATCAAATAACGTTAGCGTGGTTTTCCTAATCGCAGATGTGGTGAATTACGATGCTAACAAGAAAACAGACAAAAACAAAGCGCTTTGCTTTCATTTTGAGGGTTTAATAAATTGAAAGACGTTAAAGCGGTTCAATAAATGATTGAAGAAATATGTGCTTCATTGTACAGTATATAAGATAATTCGGAAGTCATTCAAAAACATGTGGAAGGAAAGATGGTATTGGAGATGAAGATTCGGTGAGGATAAACTAGTAAATATCGCAAGAAAAACCATATGGTTGATCTGAAAAAAGAAGTTGTTCAGCAAATATCGGAAAAAAGACATATTGGCAGAATATCCACAAACCGTTGGTATGATTGGAAAGTTATTTATCAGCCAAACCCCTCCTATGCACTATAAAAGTTTATCTATTACCATTCATGAATATAAGTGATATAGCATTGTAAGCTGGCCTCTAAGTGAGTGTTGATTCTGAGTATGCCAACAAAACTACAATCGAAATCGTTGCGAGCCTGGTAAAATATGTTGGTGATCGACAAGGAATGTCTTTTTTAACATCTGTATCTAATTCTCAAACTCAAAATTTATGTACCTATACATGTACCTTATGCTTTATGAGGAAGTGAATAAGCGATTGGTGTGAAACTAAAAGTAAATGAGAAATAAATTTACTCTTACATTCTCTTTTAAAGATACTCAGGTTATTTTCTAATATGTAATATCGCCCCTCTTTTCTAAGTTTCTGATAATGCATCTTTCAATTGGTTTTTAAATTCTTTAAAATTTCGGCACGAAACACGCGCACAAATTTTTGATCTACATATTGATTTTCCCTTGTCTTAAAAATGAAACTGGATTCTGAAACCATGCCCATTTTGGCAAATGAATATAGGTTATTTTTATTCATTTTGTAAAAATTGTTCGAAATACCTTCATAACGTTTCTGGACTTTGAATCGCTGACAACGAAATACTAGAAAAAGTGTGGTGCGTGATATATAGCGGTCATCGTGATATTTATTCTTGATTACTGTGTACTTTTACTAGGATTTTTCAGCATTGTTGTAAACACATAATATTAATTACATTAACTGGCGTAACTATTTTCCG